AAAGAGGTAGGAGACGGACGAGTCCTGGCTAACACGGTGGAAACCCATTCTCATAAGGATACAAAAAATAGTCCAGGCGAGTGGCGCACCTGTATTCCCGGGTAGCTACATGGGAGGTGATGGCAGGAGAATGGGTGGAACAGGACGGCAGCAGCTTTCGTGGAGGTGAGATTGATCGCCAAGCTGCACTCCAGCCTGGGCGCAGGATCAAGATCGTTTCAAAAAAACAAAACAATAGCAGAGTGATAAAAATTGGTAAACCATGTAAGCGTGTCTATATGTAACCACGAGTAGAACGCTTCCTAGGGTTGTCCATATAAAGATGCTGTGTTGATCAAACAACTGTGTAGACAGTTAAATACGGGATGCCCCTCCCTGTGTGAATGCTCCCTTACATGAGACTAAAAGCGGTGGGGAGGCAGACTCGCCGGTCACTCTTCCTGCTGTGGGAGGTGGAAAGTGGGCAGCCTCTTCTGATGACTCCTTGCCTGCCCAGACCTCTGTTTATCACCTCCTATTCGATTTCCCCATCTCTGTTGTTCCATAAGCCGCAAGGCGAGCCTCATGCTGGTAGCCAGGAGATCTTCGGCTGAAATTTAAATTGGATTTTGTTGTTTTTCGACTTCTTTTTTGTTTTTATTGAACAATTCTGTTACTCTGTCCGCCCGTTACGTACAGTGGTGGTGATTCGTCAGCCACGCTCACTGCAACTCACCGTCCAGGTTCAGAGGATCCTCGCCCTCAGTCGCGGTAGCTGTTGTGTGGTGCGGGTATGTGTTTAGCCATGCCTGGCGCTAATTTTTTTTTACAGTTTTTTAGGTAGTGAGACGGATGTCTGGCTAGGCTTGCCCAGGTTGGGGTTCTCAATGCTCCTGGGTCAAGCAATTCCTCTTCCTCAGCCTCCCAAAGTGCTGGCATGACAGGCATGAGCCGCTACATCTGACCTATAATTCTGGCTGTATCATTCCTTGGTCAACCACCTTCTATGGTGCCCTATTGCCTACTGAAGTAAGTCTCCTTCCTCACTCTAGTCCTGTTTGTTCATCACCAATTATTCACCCAACCCATCTTTCTAGCTTGATTTCCCTCTACTACCCATATGTGTTATGCCAAACCCCTCTGTTTGCTCTCCCTCGGACAATTCCTGTTTTTCTCAGGTCTGTCACCTTCATTTACACTGTTCCTCCCACTTGAAACCCCCTCCGCTGTCTCAGCCTCCTTCCTCGTCCTCATTTCCCCCGTCCAAAGCTTCCCCAATCCCAAAGGTTGTTTCCAATCGGCTCTCCATGCCCTCAGCCTTCTGACAAAACACAATTCTCAAAACCTCACAGGGTGCTTTGTGATTCTCTTGCCGTATCTGGTTTGTAGTGAAGTTCACCTAACTTCACTCCTAGACAGGTGAACTTATATCGGACAAAACAAACTTTGTAGAAATGCTACTGTGTCTAGCTCAACTTAAACTTATCCCATGGTTTGGGTGTGGGGACAAAGAAGATTGAGGAATGTTCATTTTTACCTTATGCACTTCTGTATTGTTTTTGTTTTTTACAATTAATAAGCAGGTATTACTTGTGATTTAAAAAAAAAAAAAAAGACCCTAAGCATCACCAAATAACCCAGCAAATTTAACACAGAGAAAACATGGTGTCCACTCCCAAGATGGACTCAACAGATGGGTCACTTGCCAGAACTTCAATCTTGAATTCATCCATCACATATTTCCAGAACTGGGAGGACTTGATGCTGAAGGGGTCAAAGGTCAGGTTTTCCATGGGGGTGACCAGGCCGTCCACCCTGCACAGGACATCGTCAATGCGTTTGGGGTCCCCCGTCACTGCCTTTAGTTCTGGACCAAATATGTTATAAAATTCCTCCAAAACCTGTCCAATCAAACGGAACAATGAGGAGATTACATATGGGTTTTCCTGTGAATATTAGAACTACATATGGATAGCATATCTAGATTGACCTTGGGGCAAGAATCATGTCACACAGTAACCTCCTCCCTGACTAAGCCCTTCAGTACTATGCCCAAGGCACATAGGATAGATCCGGGTCTGCGCCTGTCTGTTCCTCCCCGCATTGCAGCCACCCACGCCTTCCTCCAAGGCCATATCCCTTTCTGCCTCAGGGCCTTTGCATTTGCAGTGGAAAGTGCTTCAGGGAGGCTGAGGTGGGCATTTCAGTTGAGGCCAGGAGTTCAAGACCAGCCTGGCAAACCCTGTCCCTACTAAAAATGCAAAAATTAGCCAGGGGTGGTGGTGCATGCCTGTAATCCCAGCTACTCAGGAGGCTGAGGCAGGAGAATCACTTCAACCTGGAAGGCAGAGGTTGCAGTGACCTATGATCGCGCCACTGCACTCCAGCCTGGGTGACAGAGCGAGACTCTGTCTCACAAAGAAAAACAAGAGGTGAGATGACAAGCCACTGAGGTAGTTCTCTGCAGCGTTTCCACTGTTCTGGTAACAATGAAATACCCGTGCACACACTAGCTACGGTGATTCCACACAGAGGTTAAATTGTTTTTGTTTTTGTTTTGAGGCAGAGTCTCGCTCTGTCGCCCAGGCTGGAGTGCAGTGGCATAGCTCACTGCAACCTCTGCCTCCTGGGTTCAAGCAATTCTCCTGCCTCAGCCTCCCAAGTAGCTGGGATTACAGGCGCCCGCCACCACACCCAGCTAATTTTTGTATTTTTCATAGAGACGGGGTTTCACCATGTTGGTCAGGCTGGTCTTGAACTCCTGACCTTGTGATCCACCCACCTCAGCCTCCCAAAGTGCTGGGATTACAGGTTTGAGCCACTGCACCCAGCCAAAAAAAGCTTTATGTTTTTTATTCTTTTTTTTTTTTTTTTTCTTTTTTTGAAGCAAGGTCTCACTCTGTTGCCCAGGCTGGAGTACACTGGCGTGACCATGGCTCACTGCAGTCTCAACCTCTCAGACTCAAGCCAACATCCCACCTCAGCCTCCTGAGTAGCTATGACTACAGGTGTGCACCACCACACCTGGCTGATTTTTGTATTTTTTATAGACAGGGTCTTGCTATGTTGCCCAGGCTGGTCCCAAATTCCTGGGTTCAAGGGATCCTCCCACCCCAGCCTCACAAAGTGCTGGGATTACAGGTGTGAGCCATCATGCATCATGCCTAGCCTACCTGAATTCTTTTTACAGCATTTTTTTTCCTGCCCCTGAGCACAGGGCATCACTTCCCTCCAGTGCGGGGCGCTGCCACACCACAGCCGGCCCTGCTTTGCACTCACTGTGGTTCCTCTAGCAGCAAGACATCTAAGTGCCCAGAACACAGTGAGTTCTCCATGAATGTATTTAGAACGAAAGGGTGGGTGAACCTTCAGGAGACAAGGGCCGTGGCTAATTCAATTGGCCACTCGGCACTTTGTCTACTCATGGAGTTCCGGGAAGACTGGGCCTGGCTTAGGGAGAGAGTGAGAGAGGTCTCAGACTGGCCTCCGAGGGATTCCGACATTTAAGGAGAAGACAGAGGAGGGGAGCTTTGCAAAAGACATGGAGAAGGAGTGGCCAAAAAGGTCAAAGGAGGCCGGGCGCGGTGGCTCAAGCCTGTAATCCCAGCACTTTGGGAGGCCGAGATGGGCGGATCACGAGGTCAGGAGATCGAGACCATCCTGGCTAACACGGTGAAACCCCGTCTCTACTAAAAAATACAAAAAAATAGCCGGGCGAGGTGGCGGGCGCCTGTAGTCCCAGCTACTCGGGAGGCTGAGGCAGCAGAATGGCGGGAACCCGGGAGGCGGAGCTTGCAGTGAGCTGAGACCCGGCCACTGCACTCCAGCCTGGGCGACAGAGCGAGACTCCGCCTCAAAAAAAAAAAAAAAGTCAAAGGAAAGCCAAAAAGCAGGGGTACGGAGGAATGTCAGGGAAAGCAACAAAAAGTTGCAAAGCTCTGGTGTACTCTGGTCCATTCTAGTATATTCCGTATGTTCTTTCTTTGAAGGGCTTCTCCCTGCCAGGCCCTTTCTGACGCCCAGCTCCTACCTGACATGGAGAGGGCCACTGTCAAACGCCAACTGCCTTCCACGGGGCAAATTCCGCCGGCCTTCGCCCAGCCCCTACCTGCAGAATGTCGGACAGGTCCTGGCAGATGGTGGCCATGTAATCCGTCCTCTCGAACAGCCGCTTCCGGTCAAACTCCCACCGAGCTTCCCTCCCCGAGGCCTCTATCTTGGCCCGGGTGTCAAAATAGGCCTTTTTCCACAGCTTGAGGGTGTTCCTGGCGTCCAGGGTTTTGTTTTGGGCACTCGCTCGATTTTCTCTGCGAAGCCAAGAGATGCCGTGATGGGAGGAGGGTGGAGCTCCGGGTCCCGGCCGCGCTACCCAGCTGGGCAGCCAGTGTCCCGGGAAATTCTGACCCGGGCGCCCCCCGGGTTCACGGCCTCATCAGAAAAGGCGGAGGGGGCGAGAGGCTGCCCTGCCCCATGTGCAAGGGCAGGAGTCCCAAGCTGCGAGGTGCCCGCGGCAGCCGCCAGCCAGCGTGCGGGGCCGGGGCGGCCTGGTGACCTCGCTCCCTACACCAGAAGGGGCAGGAGGCCTTGGCCCCAGGCCAGAGGTCAACAGCGGCAGCTGCAACAGGGCGCAGGACAATGCCTCCCTTTGGGTAACTAATTCACCTATGCAGATAGATATAAATGGAGATCCAGCTATACAGGTAGATACAGAGAGAGAGATCGGTCTATATATAGATATGGATACATATAGATATAGATATCTATAGATAATAAAAAGTCACACAGTGTCTGATTCCATTTATATACTATCTATATAAATACATATACATAGACATGGATACCTATCTGTATAGATGGATGGAGATAGACATAGATACCTATCTGTATAGATAGAGGTAAATATAGATATGTATCTAGAAACATATAGACAGATCTACATAGATATCCTGATAGATCTGATAGATCCTGATAGATGATGAGATAGATATAGATATAGACATAGGCACGATCTCGGCTCACCGCAGCCTCCACCTCCTGGGTTCAAGTGATTCTCCTGCCTCAGCCTCCTGAGTGGCTGGGATTACAGGCGCCCACCACCACACCCGGCTAATTTTTCGTACTTTCAGTTGAGACAGGATTTCACCATGTTGGCCAGGCTGGTCTTGAACTCCTGACCTCAAGTGATCCACCCACCTTGGCCTCCCAAAGTGCTGGAATTACGGGCGTGAGCCACCGTGCCCGGCCTCATCTATATAGATATTTTTTAAGAAAATGAAAAAAGTTATCTGTCTCCCTTAGCATCCTCTATCATCCCTACACCCTCAAAGGTGGCTCCACCTCAGCCTCAGTCTCTCCAGGTACACCTGGGGAAGAACGTTGCAGTTAAAACAAAATTTCATATAGATATATATGTATATGTGTGTGTACACACACACACATAAATGTACGTGAAACGAAATATATCTCCATACAATGGAATATGATTTAGCCATAAAAAGGAATGAAGCACTGATCCATGCTACAATGTGGATGAACCTTTAAAACATGATGCTAAGTGAAAGAAGTCAGACATAAAAGTCACATAGTGTCTGATTCCATTCATATGCAAAAGACCCCACGCTGTATGGTTCCCAGGACTAGGGCAATTAGGGAGAGGTGGGGAGTGACTGCTAAAAGGCACATGTTTTCTTTTGAGGGATGAAGAAAATGTTCTAACATTGATAGTGGTTATGGCTGCACAATTCTCCGAATATACTAAAAGCCAGTGAATTGTACTTTTTTTTTTTTTTTGAGACAGAGTCTCGCTGTGTCACCCAGGCTGGAACGTAATGGTGTGATCTCCACTCACTGCAACCTCCGTCTCCCAGGTTCAAGCAATTCTCATGCTTCAGACTCCCATGAAGCTGGGATTACAGGCATGCGCCACCACACTCAGCTAAGTTTTGAATTTTTAGTAGAGATGGGGTTTCACCATGTTGGCTAGGCTGGTCTCGAACTTCCGGCCTCAAGCAATCTGCCCACCTTGGCCCCCACAAAGTGCTGGGATTACAGGCGTGTGCCACTGCGCCTGGCCATAGAAGCCAGTGAATTGTACATTTTAAGTGAGAGAATTATATGTGAATTATAGCTCAATAGAGCTGTTTAAGATCTAAAAAGTTAAAAGTGAAAACAAAACAAAAAAATGAACGCTATGGCTTCTTACTTGAACAAAGTCCGCAGGTTGACCACTCGACAGACTCTCTCGGCGATTTCCCAGGCGATGCGCTCCATGAGCGGAATCATCCTCTCGTCTTTGTTGTAGTGTCGGGAGATGATCCACACCATCCGCAGGGCACTCATCATGGCGGGGATGGTGTCCAGGACCACGTGGAAGCCAGACCCATGCGTTATGTTCTGACCAAGAGAGGAGAGAGCCACACAAGAGCCCTTAGCCTTGGGGTCCAAATAGTTTCATAAAACAGTAAGCATGCAAGAAGTTTCACTCTTGTTTTTTTTTTTCTTTTTTTTTGAGACCAAGTCTGGTGCCCAGGCTGGAGTGCAATGGTACAATCATGGCTTACTGCAGCCTTGACTTCCCTCCGGACTCAAGTGATCCTCCCACCTCAGCCTCCCAAGTAAGCTGGGAATGCAGGCATGCGCCACTACACCGGCTGATTTTTTATTTTTATTTTTGTAGAGATGGTGTTGCATTATGTTGCCCAGGTGAGCAGACTTTTTTTAATCTCTTATAATAATAACTCAAATAAATAATGGGCAAAAGATTAAAACAGACATTTCACCAACAATATGAGATTGACAAGAAGCACGTTAAGTACATAAAAAGTTGTTCAGTCTCACTAGTTGTTAAAGAAATGCAAATTAAACCACAATGGCTATTATCAGAAAGACAGACAATAACAAGTGGTGGTGAAGATATGGAAAAACCAGAACCTTCGTGTATTGCTCTTGAGAATGTAAAATGGGACAACCACTTTGGAAAACAATCTAGAAATTCCTCAAAAGGTTAAACGGTTATCATATGACCCAGCTATTCCACTCCTATGCATAATACATGAATAATTAAAAACATACATCCACACAAATCCTTGTACAAGAATGTTCGTAGCAGCATTCTTCATAATAGCCAAAATGCAGAAACAACTCAAATGCTCACCAACTGATGAAGAGAGAACAAAATGTAGTCTATCCATGCTATGGAATATGATTCTGCCATAGAAAGGAATGAAGCACTAATACGTTCCAAGCTACAATACAGGTGAACGTTGAAAACATGATGCTGAATGAAAGAGACTGCACACAGGATCAGTCCTGCATGGCCCCCTTATATGAAGTCCCTAGAGTAGTCAGATTTACAAAGACAGAAAGGAGAACAGAAGTTACCAGGGACTTAGGGTAAGGAAGAAGGGGGAGTTAGTGTTTAATGGACACAGAATTCCAGTTTGGGAAGATGAAACTGTTTTGGAAATAGTGTAATGGACACACAGCATTATGTATGTATTTAGTGCCACTGAACTGTATGCCTGGTAGTAGTTAAAATGATAATATCGTGTCATGTCTATTTTATCACAGTTTTTGAAATGCTGAGGTTTTTTTCTGAGACAGGGTCTTACTGTGTTGCCCAGGCTGGAGTGTAGTGGCGCAATCTTGGCTCACTGCAACCTCCATCTCCCAGGCTCAAGCAATCCTTCCACCTCAGCCTCCTGAGTAGCTGGAACTACAGGTGCACACCACCAAACCCAGCTAATTTTTGTATTTTTTGGAGAGACAGGGTTTCACCATGTTGGCCAGGCTGGTCTCAAACTCCTGAGCTCAAGCGATCTGCCCACCTCATGCTGGGATTACAGGCCTGAGCCACTTCTACTGGCCAAATGCTGAACATTTCTAAAAGGGAAATTAAATCATAGGAAATCCCTTTGACAGAGCTGACTGCAAAGCGCAGCACACCCAGCGTACCTTGAAATAACGCTCCACGGTGGACAGAAAGCGCACATTGTCTGAAGCCTCCGTGTGGAGCTTGAATAACTCGGTGAACACTGGCTGCAGGTTAGCCACAAGCATGGAGTCGGATTCCTTGATCACATCCAAGACTTTTCTGACTATTGGAAGCTTTGTTTGTTCATGCAGAGCACTTAAAGTTGCATTTCTTTCCCTCCAGAATTCAATTTCAGCCAGAGGGCCTTTACCCTGAGAGGTGAAATGAACACACAAAGAACTCTCATCATTAGTGCTGAGCGGACACTTTGGTGGTTTCTCAGCATCCGTTCCTTTCTGTCCAATCCTTCAGGGTCTTCAGGGGTGGGCTCTCGACCCAGCATGGTCCAATCAGAGTGAATCTCCGGGCTCCAGCTGGGAATGCTAGAAGCACCCTCTGCTTTCCTCCGGATGGTGAGGTGTGCGGATGTGAGGCCAGAAACTGCTGCAAGGCAGCCAGCCTAAGGAATGAAGCTCCCCGGCCCCTAGAAAGGAGTCTGGAACTGAGAGATTCAGAGAGAAACCTAGCCAGAGCCCTGATCAAACTGGACCTGAAGGCAACCCTGCCTCTGGACTTTTCCATTATGTGAGCCAAGGAATTCGCTTTCTTAGCTGATCAAACTGAGTTGGGTTTCCTGTTTTGGGCAGCCCAAGCTTCCCGACTGATCTAAAGTGTTATCTTTATCAATCCAGGCAGTAACCTGGTAGCACATTAACATCAGAAAGCCCAGAAGTGGTATTTTGGGTGTGTTTATTTTGATGGCTTAAGGAAACCATAAAACAGTAAGAAAAGATGCCAGACGATGCAGACCCCAGACTCTGGGCTCTTTCCCAGCATGGTAAGCATGACCTGGATCGGGGCTCTCTGAAAGCCCTACACAAACTACCTGAGGTGTCTTCTTCAGTTGGCCCTCAACCGCTATGGATATCTGGTTCAGCCAGTTTATCACACACTGCTCCAAGATGTCAACAGTTTCCGGGTCAGCTGCCAGGTCGGACACCTCTCCCTCCACACTGATGGTTGGCATTTCTAACTTGATCTCACCTAGGAAAATAAAAGCGATCAGTCAGTCACTCGTTCAGGAAAAATGATTACAAAGAAAAACATTCAAGTTCACCGGCTGGGTCTTCTCTCAAGCTTCATCAGTATAATAAGATCTGATGTAGGCCGGGCGCGGTGGCTCAAGTCTGTAATCCCAGCACTTTGGGAGGCCGAGGCGGGTGGATCACGAGGTCAGGAGATCGAGACCATCCTGGCTAACATGGTGAAACCCCGTCTCTACTAAAAATACAAAAAACTAGCCGGGCGAGGTGGCGGGCGCCTGTAGTCCCAGCTACTCGGAGGCTGAGGCAGGAGAATGGCGTGAACCTGGGAGGCGGAGCTTGCAGTGAGCCGAGATCGCGCCACTGCACTCCAGCCTGGGTGACACAGCGCGAGACTCCGTCTCAAAAAAAAAAAAAAAAAAAAAAAGATCTGATGCATCCCCTGTCCTGATACTATCTGTATCTCATTCTCTTTCATTAGAATGTAATTCAAATATTTTAGATAATTGTTCCAGCATTAAGCTTGATCAGAATGATTTAGTTATTTAAGATGTTCCTGAGTTTACAACCTAGTGACTTCAATTTTTTAAAACTTGAACAAAGAACCAGCAGATATTTTAGATAACCACTAGCCTGAAACAGTCAGTCAAAGATAAATCAGGGGAAAAATGACATCAGGGGAAACTGAGATAATGTAAAGAAAAGGAGAACAGGCCAGGCACGATGGCACGCACCTGTAATCTCAGCACTTTGAGAGACCTAGGCAGGAAGATCACTTGCGGTCAGGAGTTCGAGACCAGCCTGGCCAATGTGACAAAACCCCCCTCTACTAAAAATACAAAAATTAGCCGGGCATGGTGGTGTGTGCCTGTAATCCCAGCTACTTGGGAGGCTGAGGTGGGAGGATTGCCTGAGTTCCCAGAAGGTTGAGACTGCAGTGAGCTATGTTTGTGCCACTGCACTCCAGCCTGGGTGGCAGAGTGAGACCTTGTCAAAAAAAACAGAAGAAAAGAAAAAAGAAAGGAAAGAAAATAAAAGAAAGAAAAGGGAAGGGGAAGAGAGGGGAGAGGAGGCAGGGCAGGGCAAAAGGAGAACATTTCCAAAAGGAAAGCCCAGCTATTTGTCTCAGAGATTTGAGACATATGGCATCCATCAAACAAGAACAGGATGCTATGAAAAAAAAAATACAATCAGAGAATAAGAGGTCTTAAAAATTAAAAATATAATAGCTGATATGACTGGCAATCAAATGTTGGTAACATAGAAGTTGAAGAACACTCCAGGAAAGAATACAAAGACAAAAAGATGAAAAATACAAGAGAAAAGATAAGAAATAGAATCTCCAGACATGCCTCCAGCAGGAATTTCAGCAAGAGAAAACAAATAGTGGAGGAAAATGTCAAGAGAATTTTTCAGTCTTTGGACTGAAAACACCCACTGAGTGTTTAAAAAATGAATGGAAAAAGTACCACACACAGACCCATCATCCTAACATCAAAACACTAGGGATAACCAGATGGTCTTAAAAGCATGTAAAAGGGAGAGGGGAGAAAAATTAGAAGAACATTCAGTTTCTCATCACTGGATGTTGACTACTAGAAAACAATGAAGAAAAATGTGTTCAAAATCGTGTGCTAGGCCGGGCACAGTGGCTCACACCTGTAATCCCAGCACTCTGAGAGGCCGAGGCAGGTGGATCATTGGAAGTCAGGAGTTTAAGACCAGCCTGGCCAACATGGTAAAACCCCGTCTCTATTAAAAATACAAAAATTAGCTGGGTGTGGTGGTGCACGCCTGTAATCCCAGCTCCTCGGGAGGCTGAGGCAGGAGAATCCCTTGAACCCGGGGGGTGGAGGTTGCAGTGGCCGAAGATCTCGCCACCGCATTCCAGCCCTGGCAACAGAGTGAGACTCCGTCTCAAAAAAAAAAAAAAAAAGACTAACAGTGACTAATAATACACAAAGTTTAGCTGGCGCGCGGTGGCTCAAGCCTGTGATCCCAGCACTTTGGGAGGCCAGATGGGCGAATCATGAGATCAGGAGATCGAGACCATCCTGGCTAACATGGTGAAAACCCCGTCCTACTAATAAAATACAACAAAAAACTAGCCGCGCGAGGTGGCAGGTGCCCTAGTCCCAGCTACTCAGGAGGCTGAGGCAGGGGAATGGCGTGAACCCAGAGGCGGGCTCTGCAAGTGACATGGAGACCTGCGCCTGCACCCTAGCTTGGGCGACAGAGCGACACCTACGTCTAAAAAAAAAAAAACGGCCGGGCGGGTGGCTCAGCCTGTAATCCAGCACTTTGGGAGGCCGAGACCGGGCAGATCACGAGGTCAGGAGAGTCGAGGACCATCCATGGCTTAAAACGGTGAAGAACCTCGTCTGCTAACTAAAAAAAAACTAAAAAACTAGTAGGCGAGGTGGCGGGCGCTGTAATCCAGCTACTCGGAGGCTGAAGGCAGGGAGAATGGCGTGCAACCGGGAGCCGGAGCTTGCAGTGAGCGAGATCCGGCACTGCACCCAGCCTGGGGGCAGAAGCCGAGACCTCCATCTCAAAAAAAAAAGAAAAAAGCTGTGAAGTTAGCGCAGCCACTGGTGAGCAATGCACCTGTAAATCCAACTACAGTAAATATACCACATTCTTAACTAAAAAGGAGGAGAATGAAACCTTACCTTCAAGTTGCTGCATGGTTCTTTGAATATTACTTGCAAATTTCTGCACATTCATTAAAAATTCATCCCGTATTAATTGAATACTGTGATATTCTACTGTCTCCCCAGGCATGGGCGGCAGGTCTGATTCGTACTCAGAGAAATCAAAGCCTTCTCCAGATGTAACTCCCACAGTTGTACTTGTCCTGTGCTGATTGAAGGACAATGCTGGCAAAAAAACCTGAAATGCCAATTTTATGAAATACATCATATGATGTCATTTTCAATAATTCATGTATTTAAATTGCCTCTGGTTTTGAATATTCTTTTTTTTTTTTTTTTTTTCTGAAACAGAGTCTCACTCTGTCACCAGGCTGGAGTGCAGTGGCGCAATCTTGGCTCACTGCAACCTCCACCTCCCCAGTGCAAGCGATTCTTCTGCCTCCATCTCCCGAGTAGCTGGGGTTACAGGCACGCGCCACCACACCCAGCTAATTTTTGTATTTTTAGTAGAGACAGGGTTTCACCATCTTGGCCAGGCTGGTCTCGATCTCCTGACCTCATGATCCACCCGCCCTGGCCTCCTAAAGTGCTGGGATTACAGGCATGACCCCTGTGCCCGGCCTGAATATTCTTTTATATTGAGATACAAACGTGCAAAGTGAAAAGCACTCAAACCTGGAGCGCAGACCTAAAGACAGAGAGATTACATTTGACAAAGTGATCCAAGGGCACCAATTTTAACCAGGCCTGACACGACTGCCCCAAAAACAGTACTGTTATTTCTGTATACCACCAGTAACTGAGAAGTTACAAACTGTGGCACGGGGGCTGGCTGCGGTGGCTCATGCCCATAATCCCAGCACTTTGGGAGGCCGAGGCTGGTGGATCACTTGAGATCAGGAGTTCAAGGCCAGCCTGGCCAACACGGTGAAACCCCATCTCTACTAAAAATACAAAAATTAGCTGGGTGTGGTGGTGCACACCTGTGGTCCAAGCTACTCGGGAGGCTGAGGCATGAGAATTGCTTGAACCAGGAGGTGGTGATTTGCAGTGAGCCGAGATGACACCACTGCACTCCAACCTGGGCGATAGAGCAAGACCCTGTCTCAGAAAGAAAGAGAGAGAGAGAGAGAAAGAAAGGAGGGAGGGAGGGGAAACTGGCACAGGGAGGTAAGAAAACTATGTGTTAAACCCTCAGCTCAGGACCATCTTATTCTTGTAAATTAAGTTCTTGAGGACATAGTTTCTTTGAAATGTAGCTAGAGACAGAAGCACACATTTATGAAGTCACTGGAATACAATTACCAAACAACTTAGCCCCCACCACATAAAAAGTGATCTATAAATGCCTGTGGGTTGATTGAGTTGGTTGGCTGAATTTTGTTCTTGTTTTTTAGTTTTGCCTATATTTCTTAAAATTGTGATACCTCTTTTAAGACTCTTTGAATCTATACATATTTCCTGCAACATACCGAAGAACCCAGCATGTTGGATTAGTAGAGCTGAGCAATCCAAATGTTGCTGACGACACACTCACTGTGCAGCCGGACTTCCTCTGTGATGTGTATTTCCTGCACATTGGCAGTTGGGACCAGAGACTTGACCAAAATATGACTGGTGTTTCTTCCATCAGGAAACAAATTCTTGGTTTGGGTTTTGTTTCTCTCTCTCTCTCTCCTCCCACCCCCAGGTCCATTAATCAAGTGGGGGTTCCAAAATTGAAATGTTCTAAAATGTCCGTTTATTAGCTGAGATGCTGATATAGAGACGCCTCTCACAGCTACTACTAGATGATCTCGTACATTTCGTATGGGGAAGGCAACATAAATGCTTGACTCCTCTTTGTTTGCCCAATTTTCGAAATAGTACAGTGGTTCCCTATCATCCTCCAGAAGTGACCCATCAGGACTTTTAAAGATCATTATAAATTCATTGGATTTGAAAGGCTGGGCATGGTAGCTTATGCCTATAATCCCAGCACTCTGAGAGGCCAAGGCGGGAAAATCTCTTGAGCCCAGGAGTTTGAGAACAGCCGGGGCAACACAGGGAGACCCCATCTCTACAATTAAAAAAAAAAAAAAAGTTAGGCCGGGTGCAGTGGCTCATGCCTGTAATCCCAGCACTTTGGGAAGCCGAGGTGGGTGGATCACGAGGTCAGGAGATCAAGAGCATCCTGGCTAACACAGTGAAACCCCATCTCTACTAAAAATACAAAAAATTAGCCAGGTGTGGTGGCGGGTGCCTCTAGTCCCAGCTACTTGGGAGGCTGAGGCAGGAGAATGTCATGAACCCGGGAAGCAGAGGTTGCAGTGAGCTGAGATCGCACCACTGCACTCCAGCCTGAGCGACAGAGTGAGACTTCACCTCAAAAAAAAAGAAAAAGAAAAAATAGACAGTCTTAGTGGTGAGCACCTATGGACCCAGCTACTCCGGAGGCTGAGATGGGTGGATCCCGTGAACCTGGGAGTTTAAGGCTGCAGTGAGATGTCATTGTGCTATTGCACTATAGCCTGGGCAATGGATTAAGAACTCTGTCTCAAAAAAAATTTTTAACTCGTGCATTTGAATATCTATCTATCTATCTATCTAGATATATATATAAATATATAAATATATATCTAGATAGATAGATAGATAGATAGATAGATAGATAGGTAGATAGATTGATTTTTTTTTGAGACGGAGTCTCTTTCTGTCGCCCAGGCTGGAGTGCAGTAACACGACCTCAGCTCACTGCAACCTCCACCTCCTGGGTTCAAGCGATTCTCCTGCCTCAGCCTCCCAAGTAGCTGGGACTACAGGCGCCCGCCATCACACCGGGGTAATTTTTGTAATTTTAGTAGAGACGGGGGTTTCAACATATTGATCAGGCTGGTCTGGAACTCCTGACCTCACGTGATCCACTCACCTTGGCCGCGCCAAGTGCTAGGACTACAGGCATGAGCACTGCGCCCGGCCGTATTCGAATATATTTTCTATGCTTCAATCCACTGCAATTCTTATCCTTACTGAAGGTCAAAATGTCCCATCTGTGGCTGGCGTGAGCCTCTTCAAGTTGAGCCCTGTGTCCTTTAGACATTGGCTCTGGTTGTCATAATGCATCAAAACCACGAGGTAATTAATTAACACACGTTTTGATGTTATCTTATTTTATTTTTCTTTTTTTTTTTTTAAGAATAGATGACTCTCTGCCACCCAGTCTATAGTGCAGTGGCATGACCACCATGCACTGCAACCTCAAACTCCTGGGTTCAAGCAATCCTCCCACCTCAGCCTCCAGAGTAGCCCACAGCCGTGCCCAGCAGATTTTTCTTTTTATTTTTGGTAGAGATGGGGTTGATGTTATTTTAGAATGGAAAGTTCCGTTTTGCATAAGAAGGTAGCCAGCGTGGCCAGGTGTGGTGGCTCATGCCTGCAATCTCAACATTTTGGGAGGCTGAGGTGGGCAGATCACTTGAGCCCAGGAGTTTGAGACCAGCCTTGGCAACATACTGAGACACTGTCTCTAAAAAAAAAAATACAAAAATCATCCAGGGATTGTGGCATGGCGTGCACCTGGCTAATTTTTAGTGATCCTCCCAGCTACTCAGGAGGCTGGGGTGGGAGGATCGTTTAAACCTGGGAGGTCAAGGCTGCAGTGAGCCATGCTTGCGCCACTGCACTCCAGCCTAGGTGGCAGAATGAGACCCTGTCTCAAAAATAAATGAATAAAAACAAAAAATATAAATAAATAAATAAATAATAAGAAGGCAGCCAATGTTCTTGAGTCCTCCAAAGTCACACTCGGAAAAGACATCATCCCGATGAAGGAGGGTATCTTCGGGTGGAACGCCCCTTGTGTGCTGACAGCTCAGTGGGGAGGCCCCACAGCCTAACTCACAGGGTGACTTGTTCTCAGTGAGACCTCGTCTGCTCCCATCCCCAGAACTGCTCACATGGAAGTCACCCAGGGCCAAGCCCTCCCGCTCTTCTTTGCCTGTGCCTTCTTGACCTCCAGCAGCAAGTGGCACAGCGGGCCCCTCCCTTCTCCCACGAAGCATCATCTTCTCTTGGCTTCCGGATCACCCATGTGCTAACTTTCCTCTCCCCTCATCTCTTCCATCTCTGTTCCCTCCCTTGGTTGTTCCACCTGGTCTCTTGGTTTTACACCATCTCTGTGCTGATGACGCCCCTATTTTAAAGCATCACTCTGGTGCATGTGGAGAATGTAGCATAGAGGGTAAGAACAGAAACTGGGGGAACTTTTTGGAGGCTACTGCAATACTCCAAGCAAAAGAGGATATTGTGTTGGTTTGGACATTTTTATCCACATCTTCTCAGTGAAGTCTTCCTGGTCACTCTATCTAAAATTGCAAAAGCCCCACCTTTCCCTGTCAACTGTCCCTATCCCCCTCGTTTCCTTTTTCTTCCCGATCTGGTTTCATTTTTCTCCCTAACTCTTGTTGCTATCTAACACACTATATATTTTCTCATTGATCTTGCTTAATGTACATCTTCCCGTCTAGAATGAAAGCTCCATGAGGCAGAGACCTTGTCTCAGTTGTTCATTGCTATGAAATACAGTAGGTGCTCAATGAATATTTGCTAGACGGATGCCCTGAGTTCCCTGCGGAGTTCCAGACTCATACGTCCTGCTTTACGCCTTGACTTGAATGTCTAAGAGGCCACCTGTGCTTAACATGCAAAATACAACACTTAAGTTTCTCTCCATATCTGTTTCTCCCCATCCTCCATCTCAGTAATGACTTCACCATCCTCCCAGTTTCTCAGACCCAAATCCTAAGAGTCATTCTTTTTTAATTTTTTTTTAGAGATGGGGTCTTGCTATATTGCCCAGGTTGTTCTCAAACTCCTAGCCTCAAGCAATCCTCCCACCTCACCCTCCTAAAGTGCTGGGACCAAGAGTCATTTTTTGTACTCTCTATTCTTGTGATACTTTTCAAAGCCTCCAGATCCTGGTCATCAGCAAGTCCCATGGCCTGATCCTCAAGGCATTCCTCACACTGTCTGCTTCTCCCTCCCTTCCCTGATTGAAGCCTAAATAACCATCACCCTTGACGTGGTTTGGCCGTGTCCCCACCCAAATCTCATCTTGAATTGTAGTTCCCATAATCCCCACGTGTCATGGGAGGGACCTGGTGGGAGGTAATTGAATCCTGGGGGAGGTTACCCCCATGCCACTGTTCTCATGATAGTGAGTGAGTTCTCATGAGATCTGATGGTTTTATAAGGGGCTTTTCCCTCTTTGCTCAACACTTCTCCTTCCTGTCATCATGTGAAGAAGGATGTGTTTGCTTCCCCTTCCACCATGATTTTAAGTTTCCTGAGGCCTACACAGCCATGCAGAACTGTGACTCAATTTAACCTCTTTCCTTTATAAATTATGGGTTGTTCTTTATAGCAGCATGAAAATGGACTAATACAGCCCTCCACCTGGGCTCTTCCGTGGCTTTCTATTTGGTTTTTCCTTCCCCTCCACCCCAGCAATATGTTTTCCCACAATAGCCGGAGGTAAAATGCAAACCAGATCCTGTTGTTCCCCTGCTTAAACCTGCCTTCATTTCCAGCCCTCCCTCCAGCCACACTGGCCGTCCTCCTGCTACTGAGCCAAGCAGAGGCTGCTCCTACCTCAGGGCCTTTGCACCTGCTGTTCTCTCTGCCCAGCATGCTCTTCCTCCACATCCTATCGTGTCTGATGCCTTGGCCTCATTTGGGTCTCAGTTCAATATCACCTCCTCCTTCCTTCCCTAGTGCATTTCCCTAATAACTTATCATTCATGAAAAAGGCCTGCTGATGAGTTTTTCATTTTTTTGGTCTATAAAGCTCAGGCCAAGCATGGTGGCTCATGCCTATAATCACAGCACTTTGGGAGGCCAAGGCGGGCAGATTGCTTGAGCCCAGGAGTTGGAGACCAGCCTGGACAACATGGTGAGACCCTGTCTCTACAAAAAGTACAAAAATGAGCCTGGCATGGTAGTGTATGCCTATAATCCCAGCCACTCAGGAGGCTGAGGCAGAAGGATCGCTTGAGAGTTTGAGGCTGCAGTGAGCCGTGATCGTGCCACTGCACTCCAGACTAGATGGCAGAGAGACCCTGTCTCAAAAAATAATAAAAATAAAAAAGAAAGCTTAGACATCACATCCTCAGCAAGACCATTCCTCACCATGCCCTCTGCACACACATGCAGTGTGCATGGCCCATTTCTGTCTCATATCAGGGTTTATTTTCCTCATGCCACTTGTCAGCGCCTGGTATTTTCTCATAGATGTGCTGGTGTGCCATGTCTTTCCCCTACATAAGCTCCTAGAGAGCAGGGCCATTGACTGTCCTGTCCACTGCTTGACCCTCAGTGCCCATAACAGCACCTGAGACAAAAGAGCTGCCCACTACTTATTTGTGGAATAAAAAAACCACATGACCTCAACTGCAGAAATACTAGAATTTCTTCCTTTCTCCATGTTTACCTGACACATAATATCCTTCAGAAAATGGAGCACATTAGCATTTATAATTCCATACTCCAGTGTTTCCGGCATAATTTCCATAGCTTCCTTCATGTCGGTAGCTTCAGAGATTGCCTCTAAATAAAAACAGGTGTAGAATGTAAGGTCAGTGGGAGAGAGAGCAGCCAACAGTTAACATTTCTAAGAGAACAGGAATCTTCTCCTTCTTCCCAAGTTGCTATAAGGAATGTTCTGGTTACAGATTCAGAATATCCCCTATTTGTGTTCAAACAAATCTGAGGGCCCATGAGAAGCTGAAATGGATACCGATGCACTGTCGTTCACGGATTAGTATGAACAGCGCACAAGAGTTGCACATATTCACTGATCTGGTTGGAGTATCTAACACTGGCCAAAACCAGAAATTATTTGGGTTGTCTAGAAATGTTGGCTGGATTCCTTGCTGCTATGGACTGAATGACCCCAAAATCCACATGATGAAGCTTAAATCCCCAAGGTGAAGGTATTAGAAGGTGGGGCCTTTGGTAAGTGACTAGGTCATGAGGGTGGAGTCTCACGATGGGATTGGTGTCCCTATGGGAAGAGACAGGAGAGCTTGCTTTCTCTCTCTCTCGACTCTCCACCATAGGAGGATAGGAGAAGGCACCGTCTGTGAACCAGGAAGCGGCGCTCGCCAGATGCCAGATCCGCCAGCACCTTGATTTGGACTTCCCAGCCTCCAGAGCTGTGAGAAATAGATGTTTGTTGGCGAAGCCCCCCAGCCTATGGAAATTTGTTACAATCATCCAAACTGGCTTGGGCACTAGCTTCGCCTGTCTTCACTCCCCAGCAAGTCTTTCTCAATTCATTGCCAAAGCATCTTTTGAGTCATGGGTTATTTGAAAAGACCTACTTGGTAACATCTACCCTTCCAACAAACAAGGTTTTATTTGATATGTATTTACTCTACCTGACCAAAAATCAATCACCATGGTAAACATTTTAAAGGTTACTTTAAAAGGTAAACATTTTAAAGACTGTTCCCTTGATCTAACTGAGAAACAAAACACACACAACAAATATACCCATTGAAGTCGTTATTTCACAAGTTTCAGTCTTCACACCTTCTCCAAATATGTGCAGACATGCACTATCATTGGTTGAATACATTTCTTTATATCTAACACTTCTTTACTGGAAATTAGCTTTGAGAAGACTACATAAGAACCCAGTATGGAAAAGAAAGAGAGCTTGGCATAAGTGAAAGATAACCACAAAAAGACAAACAGAAAGAGTGAACAAGTGCATGCACAACCACACCCCCTCAACACACATACGCACACACGTGCCAGAAATGTACCTTTGGTATTTCTGAGAAAAAACACCACGTTTTGGTCCAGGAACTCCATGGGAAGAGGGGCACAGAGCATGTGGAGACGCATTTTTTCCACGATGTGCTTCACAATTCTCTGAAACATGGGGAACAAAAAACATTCATTCTTGTGATACATCCATGCACCTAAAGAACCTAATATCAAGTACACCTAAGCTCTCCTCTCAACACAATGGCTGGTCTCATGTTCTGACAACGCAGCCACAGCCACACAGTGGGTACCAGCTAAGCACAGGAGCTAAACTCACCTAGACTCTGAGCTCTCAGCCTGACTCCTCTATTGACCAACCCGCGCAGCAACACCTAAACAAACCGACCTGGCAAAGGTCCAGATGGAGCTTGAATTTTGTTTTGCAGATGGGACATATTTATGAAGCAATGAAGCATGATTTTGGTAAGCACAGACCAGGTTGAATGCTTACGTCCTAGCCTTAAACTCCAACCTTGGAGTTTTTACAGAACAGGGTTCATTCAGCAGGCCTGTGTTGTCCAAACCCCACAGATGCCAAATGTCTTCAGAACTGGCCTTTGGCTCTTGGGGTGACAACTTCCAAGCTTTTGGAATATCCTGCCTAATATGGGAGTCTTTGTGTATCTACAGCCTTGGGCCATGCCTGAAGGTATATGTGAACAATATGATTTTGGTGAATGCCTGTTTTTGTTTGCTGGGTCCCCAGTCATACAGCATCAGTTCAACCTCTAGGGTGGTGGTGAGGGCTGGAGATGAAGGGGAGCTGAGTAACTAAGGTCAGCCACGAGGATGCTCCATGACTGTGTGACTGATCCCCAGTAAAAACTCCAGACACCAAGGCTCAGGTGAGCCTCTCTAGTTGGCAATGCTTCATGCATGTTGTCACTCACAGCTACCAGGAGAATTAAGTGCAGTCCATGAAACTCTACTGGGAGGGAACATATGGAAGCTTGTTCCTGTTTTTCCTCTGGTCTCTGTCCTGTGTACCTTTTTCTCTCTTTTTTTTTTTGTGTTTTTTTTTTTTTACTGATTCTAATTGCATCCTTTCCCTGTAATAACTATAACTATGAATATAACAGATTTTCTGAGTCCTGTGAGTCCTTCTAGCCAATCACTGAATCTGAGAGGTGGCCTTGGGATCCTATAATCTCCATTCCAACATGATAAATCCCTTGGGATTGGGCCTGTGTCAGTTACCCTGAATTTTAGAGGGCGGTTAGGGGTACTCATTACCCCTCCAACAAGGACAAAGAGCCATGCTTACTTTGGGAAGGGAGATTTTTCTGAAATCTCTTTGTGCATTTCTTCATCTCTACGTCGATTAGGTTGACTAGAGATTCGGTTCTCAGTGCACACATGCTTAGCGCAAAAACATCAATCAAAAGTGTAGAGAAAAATCATCGCGAAAATTTAGGTTTCCTACCATC